TGTATTTTATTGATTACAATTTAAATTTCTCATGGCTAATCCCAACAATGATTTTAAAAAATTTTGATAGACAAAATTTAGACTGACCAACAAAGAGCAAAACAAATTGAACAACTTATCATACTGTTCGATGCTCATGCACTGAATCATTGAAATGTTCCTTTGTTAATCTGATAATTGATTTCAAAGTTTATTATAGAGTTAATTCTGCAAATCTATTTATTTAAAAAATATTTTTGTATGCAAATCATGTTATATTCGATATTTTAATTTAATGTTCATTCGGCTGTGCTCCCCTGCAGTTACGTTGGCCGTTGTAGTATTGTTACTTATTTTGTTGTCATATTGAGTCACTTGCGGAACTTCAGGCTTTTTATTTTATGATACCCGCTGATCTCATAATTGTGTACTAGTGACCTAACGCTATGTGACGGAGAGGTTTACAAATAGTACTTTAATTTCTTTCATCGTTTTTCGACCGCGTTTCTGTACCTGCAGCGGAACAAAGACTTTGAAATAATTAATACACATTATTAATTTGTAATAAAGAAAAACATCGTTGTGGGTTGTGAACGCTTACCAAGTAAATGTATTTTTCCAGGCTTCTAACCTTCTCGTTCTTGATCCCTTATTGTAAGAGGCTGTTTATATTTTTTTGAACTGAAGGTAATCAGAATTTTTTATGCTTATCTCTATAATCGGGCAATAATTCTTTATAAATTAGTAGATTATTAAGTACCACATGCATCAAATTATTGAAAAGAAAGATGAATCATTGGCAAGTAAAGATATACAGAAACCAAAGCAGTGTAATTACGATGGCAAGAAATTAAATTTCGATTTTAAGCTTCTGTTGTGGCATTGTGATAGATCCTTAGTACGCTAAAGAGATGAACGGACATCCTCAGTTTTATGAAACGGGAGAAAACGATGCCAAAATGGCAATAAATAACACCAGAATAGCTAATTCAAGTGCACGGAGCATGGATAAATGAATACCAATTTAAACTATTAAATGGAACATAATTTGCATGGAAAAGATACTTAAACATCCTAGAACTTTGAAATCTGTCTACTCAATAACATATTGACGTTTTATTTTTTGATGAAGGTATACTTGTGCATATCTCGTCAGGGATAGACCAGCATCATCATTCAGTCATCTAACCCTTTTTTTCAAACGGCTGATTGGATGACGTCGTGAAGAAGATCGACATCTATCCACGTCTTGCTTGGCAGTAAACAGAAAATGTTGTTTAGGGTGTTACTATTCTCTGTATTAACGATGGCAAATCGCATCGTGGTCTTTGAGATATGGCAGTTTTGAGCTTCATTTAGTGAAATATTTTATCATATCATGAAGCACATTTAATCATTGCATGGTCGTTGCGTCAACCACAGGTATGTCATTGGAACAAAGGCAGTTTGATAATCTGTTAGGGATGCGCGAGTAACATATTTGGTTCACCGTGCCCCTATGTAATTTTGGCTAAAACAGAACTGCCTCCAATGTGGCAGCGACAAGAAAAGGTACATAAAGTTGTCATTTATTATTTATTCTCATTTGATTCTAAAGTTATTAATGCATGGATGAATTGGCTTCGCTGATGGCAGAACAGAATTGGCATATTTTGTTATGTCATCCTTGTGTTCAGTAAACCGTTTGTTTTGTATTTTGCAATAAGTATGTATAGCAGGTTTGACGGCGTTTTGCATTTCGTTTTAAGGATGCTTACGAGCGCGCCAGGAGCATCATCAAAAGTCATATAAACATCCACAAAAATTTAGCCGAAGCCTTACTCACGTATGAAACGCTAGACGCAAAAGAAATTCATCAGGTGATCGAGGGTCTTCCTTTGCAGAAAGCATTTACGTGATTGGTGTTTGGATGAACTTTTGTTTGTTTAGTGTTTGTTTTGATCACCGGTCCGTTTCGAATGTTACAAATGTTTATGTTATCTGGAATAAATTATTTCAAGGTTCTTTTTCAAACTGCGTTTCCAGCAGCAGTTTTGTGAAACTGATCTTTCTGATATTTTCGCCACGTGTGTGCTCTCTTGCAATTAGAGAGCGCAGTATTGAAATATGTAATCCGTATCCTTCTGATATTTTATAGTGGAACTGCATCATTCATGTCAGGAAGAGGTTAGTTCCTGTAGCATTTCAAGAATTAGAAAACGCGGACTATGATGAGATTATCCTTTTGGCCATAGACTTTTAGATTTATCACTTTACAATCGCTGTTATTATTCTTAGGTTATTTTGACTTGCGTTAGCTTAATGTTCTTTGTTATCAGCTTGTTGGCCCAGCAAGTTTGCTGTTTTGGTTCATGACTTAAGGGACCAAAATTAAAGTGCTGATTTATATGTTTATATTGCAGTGAACAAATTTTTTTGCTAATACAGCTAACATGAAGACACGTAAACCGAAATGGAATTATATCTTAGAACGACTCTAGGTTTCTGTTTCGGAAGCTGCCGTCAAAGTTAGATACGATTCTGCTATCAAGAGATTTTTCTTACGCTTCCTAAAGTGTAACGTTCAATTGAATGCGTGTTAAACGCTGACATACATAGTATGGAAGAACGCCTAGTGAAACTTTCCCAAGACCTGAAGGCTGTAGTCAAATCGCGTGTCGTTTCTGCCGAAGAGATGCAGAAATGGACGGAAGATGCATGTTCGTTTTTCTTCGACGAGAATTCTGTTGACAGCGGTACGGTAACGAACCAGGGGAATGGGCTGAACTGAACGTTGTTGATTTTAGATGATATCTTGGTGCATTTTTGTTTCGAAGCAGCGAAGCGCGATTTGGCTGCTGGCAGAGTTAAGGAGATCTTAATCAGTGCGGAATTGTCAGCGGAGAATGCGGACACGTTCATTATTACGTTCGAGGTATGATAACACCACTTATTGACAACACGGTCGGTAAAACTTTGTTGCATCCGTGACTTCTGTGGTTCGCATTCTGATTTGTACTTCGCCACTGGCAGTTTTTCTGTTTGACCTAAATTAATAGAAGATTCTAAGTGATGACCCTCCCCTCCGTTCTGTTGCAGTCATGTTACAAAAGAAGGAAGTGCTTTTTATGCTCTTGTTCTTATATCTTGTATTGGTTGCGGAGCATTTCAGTCGTATATCAGTTGCGGTTGACTAAAACAAAGCGCTGCAAGGCCCAACAGTCAGCTGTTTAAGATCCATGTAATTGGACCCCTCCCCGTGTGTAAGAGAGACTTGGCAATGACGAGGGACTAAGAGCCTTTCATTTGGACCGGCGGGTAATCGGAAGTGAATCGTGCCGGCTGCAGCACGCTCACGATTCCTCGGTGTTTCGGGTCTT